GTCATGGACATTATTTATTTATTGCATGGTGGCAGCTCCTGGGAGCCCCAGTCACAAACCATGTGTCAGGTGGGTAGAAACACAGAACATAAAGATGATGGTACCTGGCCCAAAGAGTATCCTTTAAGTGTGAGAAAAGTGGCAATGGACAAACAGGGGAGCACCAAGAGACTATGCCCAGCTCTTGTCACGTTCTTTATACCCAAAAAGTGTCTTGGTTGGTTGATGCTTCTTTCTGCCTGTGGCTTTTCTGCTCTGCCTGCCACCTCCTACCCCATCTCTGTTCGGGCTCTGTCTCCAGCATGCAGGCAGCTCTTCAGAGAGGAGCCCTGCCGGACAGGGACCCACCCAGAGACCAGTTCCCCAGGCCTCTAATCTTTGAGGCTAGAAGTGCCCCCAACCTCCTGCCACTGCCTGGGGCAGGTCTTGAGGAGCTTGGCTGCTTCTCAGGTGGCCTCTGCAGGCTGGAAAGTGGAGTCTGTTCTGCTCTGAGATGTACCAAAGCACGAGTGATGACAAAGCCCTGCAGCGCCTGGAAGAACGTAGCAGGCAGTCTCTGTGTGTCTGCTATGGTTTTTCTCTCCCCTGAGACCTGGCCTTTTCCTTCTTTCATTCCTGCCTGGACTTTCACAGCCACCTGCTGGGAAGCCACTCTTTCCTCACAGGACACCCTGCCAAATGTGCTGCCTAATCCTGCTTGCAGACCATCACAGCCTGCCCCCAAAACTGTCACCAGAGCTCTCCCTGGGGGCTTTCACTCATGTACCTTTGAGTCTCCAAGTCGCCACACTGGAAATGATTTGCTTCTTTCCTTAGTCGAGAGACATCAACCCCCAAATGGTGACTGTTCCTCTCACCTTCGTTGCTCATCTCCGTTCACTAGTGTGGGAGTCCTTCAAAAGCCGCTCCATCCTCCCCATCTTGAGTGGGATAGACTCTGAGTTGCCCTTCCTCCCAGCTAGTAGCAGCCTTCTCATGCAAGGTCACTGGGGTTTTTTGCAGAGGAAGATGTTGCTGCAGGCATGAGTCGGGGTCTCACAGTCCCTGCCTCTTTGAGCAGTGTCCGGGGAGTAAGGTGATGCCTGGGGTGAGTGAGGCTGGCAGGAGCTCGCCCCTCAGCTCCTGAGTTTGCAGGACGAAGGGGTGTTCTCTGGAACCCTGCCTCTTTTTCCCCCTATGAAAAGCCAATGCTGCACTGATCTGTTCTCATCTCCCTGCTTTGTTGGCTGGAGGGGATTGCTTGAGAGTGATGTAAAGCATTCTTTTCCCAAGACTGTGCTGATTTCCCATATCCCCTTGGCACCAGGGGGCAGGGAGGTGGAGGGGGGAGGCTCTGCTGTCCCTCGTCACTAGCTCAGTTCTGTTCCCAGTCTCTCAGAGTAACGAACTCTTGCTCCCCAGCTGCAAGGCTTTTGGCCCCCTGGAATTTTATCTTCCTCCAGATCGGAGGAGGGGATGGGCAGGGAAGCCTGGCCTTAAGTGGTTAATGCTTTTCTTAGCCAAAACAAATCTGCTGGGGGAAGGTCCTGAGCAGTAGCATTCTGGCCTTATGGCTTGCAAGAGACTTGCAAACAGCTTGAGCTTCCACTGTGTCTCAGCTCTGGTGGGCAAAGCAAGCCTTTTCTTACCCCACACTGCCCACCACTCGTTGCAGCTGGGGTTGGGATCTGCCACTGGTAAGGAGGGCGTGTTACTGGAGCTGCCTGTCTCGCCAAGACAGGAGTGCCTCTGGGGGAGCTGAGTGTACAGTTACTCAGAGGCCTGTTCAACTGGTACGTGTCTTGGGACAGAAGAGTCTCTAGAGAATTCCTTGGTGAGTGGTACCAGTCTGTCAGATATTTCTCTCTCTCCAGCTTTGCACATCTGGCTGTGTCCACACCAGCAATTGTCAGGGAGTTTTCTGTTGTGTCCAGGTAGCCCCACCTGCAGCAACGGGGGTGGGAGGCTCATTGCAGTACAGGTATTTTCCACCAGCTTGCACATAGGTGACCCAGAGACAAGTGCAATGCTCTTCACTGGAAGTTGTTGTTTTGTTTGCTTGTTTTTTAATAAATTTGTATCCAAGGCCAAATTTAGCCAAAACTAATTCCCAGTCCAAGAGTCCAGAACCATAAGTGGCCCTACTACCAGCAAACATCCTCCACCCACACCTGGGGCTTCAGGTGTTTCCAAATCCTTTGGCGGGCATCCTATTTGCAGGCCCGAGCCTGGGGGCTTGGTTTGGATGCCCCCGAGTTTTACTTGCCCTTAGCCATAAGGCCCTTAGAGCAAGCAAGGAAGGAGACTCCCATTTCCATAAACTGGGCTTAAAGCTGCTACACCTCAGCAGATACTGAACCACACCAAAAGAGCAGTTCTCCTGTGGTGCAGTTCAGGAAAACTGCCTTCATGGACACAGGTACATGGTATTTCCCCTGCCAAGTTAAGAAGCCACTACGCTTGTCCTGAGCCTTCTCAATCTGAGCCTCCATGGCAGTATAGGGACACGTCGGCGGCAGGGTACAGCTAGCGTGACATGAAGTGCCACAGGCTCTGGCTGCTTGCAGTGACCCGGTGCAAGGGGAGCACCAGTGACTCAGACCAGCCCCTGAATTGGGAAGGTGCACACTGCACCGCCAACTGCCCTGCAGTAATGAGGGTTCCTGTGCCCATGGGAGGGCTCATATGTAGGATCCATCCACCTTCCCCCCGCCTTTCACCCACGCTAGCTGTTGCCATGGGGCTGTCCCTGCACAGGTGGAATGCAGACACATTTATCACTGCCTGTTTCCGTGGAGTACCAGGTCCTGCCCTGAGTCACAGGTGAGCGCCTTTCAGCCTGTGCAGACGAGCCCCCTTCAGTCTGGGACTGTCTCAGGTGACAAGTGTGGGTAAACAGCAGCGGTTCTGTGCTCAGCAAAGGGTTTGATTGAATGCTAGAGCCTGTTTGCCGAGACAGGGGGGATGGAGGTGGGGGACAGCCAGGATGCCAGGCTTATCTACTGCTCTCTTCAGAAGTGCCTTGGAGCCATCAGCAGCTCCCAGCCCAAGCAACAGCACAGCCACAGTTGGGAGACCCGTCCCATGGAAGTCAGGGTACCTCTCACTGCAGACCTGTAATCCCAAGAGCAGCAGCAAAGGATGGCTTAATACCAGCCCCTTCTCACAAAGGAAAGACCCACAGCTCTGCACCTTCTCTATGTTACCAGCCAGATGGAAGCTCTTGAGGGTCTGGACTTGGTGCTGTATCCATCCAGCATTGCTGTGTGTCTCTTGGCAGGTGCCAGGTCCTCCGCAGGTTCCTACAACTTTCAGAGGGCCTTGGGATGCAGGTGGGTTAGTTCACTGCAACGATTCTCAGGCATGGGTGGCAGTGGGTGATGGCTGTTGAGCCTGAGGACTGTCCAGCTGGGAAAGGGCAGGACAGGTGAGTGGAGTAATGACAGCAGCGAGAGTGGGTGATTACCTGGTGCCTCGCATGACCTCCCAACCCCTGGGTTGGTCCCTGCAGCCTCGCTCAAAGGCACAGGACCGATACATAGATGTTAGCCGTGATAGCAGAATTAATGCCAAGGGCTTCACACTTCATTACAGCCCACATGAATGGAACTATTGTCCTGGAACAGAGAGATGGCAAGTCAGGATTAAACAGCAGCTCTGCCCATAGGAAACCAACTGGCACTGTGCCAAATTGACCTTAAGGCCCCTAGTGGGATGATGGTGGGAGGACAGTCTGTCTGAGTGCACCTCAGAGACTGGAATGTGCCGGCCGTTGGGTGGGGGGAGGTATAGGGGTCTCCTTTCACCCCCAAGTCACCACAAGCTACAAAATGAGACGTAACGAGCATGTGGGGCCAAACCTGGAACCCAGGTGGGAGGGGGCACTCAACTGGCCCCAATTCATTTAGGAACATGGGCAGCTTCCCTGACTCCACAGCTTGCCCTGTTTGTCCTTCCTGGCCAGGGGACATGGCTAGAAGCATCTCTCACACACGAGCATGGCCCTTAGCTCTATAGGCACTTTAGATACTTCCCTGCAAAGGAGTCTGCTGGGTGTTGCTTTGTTACCAGGGGGTTGGAAAGGCTCTGCCACTATGAGGATGTGCTGGTAAGGAAGAGCTCCCATCAGGGAAACAGTTCCTTGAAGTGTGCCCACAAACTTATGAGGATCTGAATGTGTTCCTCTCCTCCCCCCAAGTTGGAAACATTGCCTTTTTAGCTTTCTGTGTAGCAGCTGTAAGGTAGGAAATCATAATCCTGATTGAGCTGTTTTGGGGGAGAGGTTTGGCCTATGTAGTGATAATAGTACCATGGGAAGGAGCCCTCTCAGGCTTAGCCACATCAGTTGTGATGGTGTTCTTGATACCCCTAGGTACTTGGTGTGAGTTGCGCACTGCCCTGGTGATCTTAATGAAGTGCTCCTAGCTTTGCTCTGGGTTCTCGGCCTAGGGGGCACAACTTTCAGGGAGGGTCACACCAAGTACCTAGATGTGTCTATGTCTACCATTAGGGAGAATGAAATGCCTGATTAAACTACTCCCCGAGCACTGTGCACCAGGGGTTAATGACAACAAGCAGCCAACTGGGAAAAAAAAAAAAACAAAAACAGCAAACAGGAGGCAATTCACTGCCCAGAGATTTTTGTGTCTGGCTTTGAGGGTCTGGCTCCCGCCCATAGTTGCAAAATTATTTCCTGCAGACCAGCTGCCTGGGAAAAGCAGACCATAATAACCCGGGGCCAAGACACTGCTGTAGTTCACATGGCATCAGAGCCCTCCTGTGCTGGAGAGCAGTGGAGCCCAGCAGATGGATCATACCACAGACATGAGTGTTGGCTGGACAGGATGGAGGACAAGCTTCCCAGGGGAGATGGTGTTGGCTCAGGGTAGGTCACATGGCCTAGTGGGGAGGCAGAGCTGAGAGACCGCTGTGGTGCAGGTGAGAGGAAGGGTTGTCTTACCACATGGCTTGATTTCTCCTGCTGTGTCCTGCCATAACAGCCCTGCTCCTCTTTTGCCTAGGATGGGGCTCGAAAACACCACACCTGGAAAGAACAGAACCCCTGGGTTTCCCCCTCAGTTAACACCTTGGAGTCAGGAGTCCCCTCCAAGGGCTTCTCCCAGAGCACCGAGGGACAGGCGGCGCACTGGAACCCACCCCGCTGCGGCGTGCCCGATGTGCCCATCCTGCCAGATGGCCAGAACGGGCGGAACCGACAAAAGCGGTTTGTCTTGTCTGGAGGGCGCTGGGACAAGACGGACCTCACCTACAAGTAAGACGGGTCTGGAGCAGGACGAGAGTTCTCAGTGGCTTCTTCCCACTAACAGGACCTCTCCATTCACTGCTCTCCTGAGCAACAGAGGCTGAGCTGGGCTGGGCCTCTACCAGCATGGGCCTGTAAAGGCTGGGGGGCTTATGCAAGAAGCAGGGTGCGCTATTCCTAGAGACAAAGTTGTAGTTTACTGGTTTAACCAGGGTGTACTTCCCCACTCACACTCACAATGTGTCTATCCCTCTATACCAGTTCTCAATCTTCTTAGCCTCAAGGCACCTCTTGGAAAATGCCAACTCTTAGTTTCAACTCGTTTTGACTACAGAGACATACTAGAGCAATTCTTCTGTAGCAAAGAACTCAGCAAGACCAAAACAGGTCAGAATGGTTTTAATACTGTGGATTCCTATTTGAAATCTCTGGGTTTATCCTGTGAATCGTGTTTGCACCTAGCAGTGCTAAGGTTGTGTGACACACAAGGCACCCTTGAAAGGATCTCAAGCTTCTGCAAAGGCTTTCATAGACGACTTGCGTGAGATTTCATGGGCCACCTCAGAGTTATACTGCACCCTGCGTGCTAGGTGTCAGTAAGTGCTCTACACAGTATGCAGACTACCCAGTGTATTCAATGCTCGAAGCCCTCAATCTGGACCCAGACTCAAGTCCTCTTCCTGGCATGTTATTGGGGTTGGACAACAGCAAGCCAAGCAATGTTGTTTGTTAGATCACTCATAATAATGGAAAGCGGATGGTGACTTTTCTGAGGGGAATGATCAATGTGACCTAGAGAACATATGATTTATAGGCTGTAGAAAAGTGACAGAAAACTGATACAGAAAAGACTCCTAGATGAAGTGAGTGTGGAGGGTACTGGTGACTGATGATACTGGATACTGTGGCACTTGCATTAATGGTGGCTACATTGACAGTTAATGCAGTGAAAAGGATGCTAGTGGTGATTAAGTTATTTACAGGGGAGATCTGGTATCATTTTCTGACTGGGATGGGGGTTGCCATGAGATGTTGATCCCACAATGTTTTGACATTAACAGAGGAGCAGCAGCTCTTTCCACAATGCTAATGACACTTGAGCTGCTGCAGCTGCTGCCTCGAATGCACTGATCCTACCTGAAGTGCTGGTACCTCAGCAATGGCTGCAGGACATTGGGTGACTCTTGCTGCTTTTTAGGATAATCAGATTCCCTTGGCAACTGGTGAAAAGTAAAGTGAGACGCACAGTTGCAGAAGCCTTGAAAGTATGGAGCGATGTGACACCACTGACCTTCACTGAAGTGCAGGAGGGCCGAGCCGACATAGTCATTGATTTCACAAGGTGAGCATGGAAGGAAAGGAAGCTCTAGTCCAGAAGGGGGTGGTCATCTTCTTCCAGTGGGCCTAACAGGACAGGGCCAGAGTCCAAACTGTTCACAAAAGCTGAACAAACCGTCAGCAGCAATTTACTTATTCACTGAATTTAGTTCCATTTTCTGTTCCCAAGCATTCGCCTTGGCTGTTCAAGGACAAGCCATTATTTTGTCCCATGCTTGTGTAGCACCTCACACAATGGGACCTGGATTCCTGGCTGAGAGCTCTCTACATCACTGCCTCACAAATGTTTTATTTGATCAGTTCATGTGCCATTGAAAACCATTTGCCCATTAATTTATGCCAATACTTGTTCAGCTGTTGGGTCTTCCACAAAGCATTTGCCTTGTCTGTCTTCAGCTACTTAGTCTCTGCCCTTTGAGAGACTACCTAACCTTTTTCCCCAAAACAAATATAGTTTCTTGGTTAAATTAATCTCGGCTCCAGGCCTTGAGATTCACTTTCTACAACATATTTACGGGAGCAAATCTTCACTCTAATGAATGTTTGCACAGAGCTAATACAAGGGATTGTGGAGACTGTTCAAGGGATGATGCGGGTTGCAGTCAGTATGTTTGTGCTTTGCCAAAGTGTTCACATCTCCCTCGGGCTTCCCCAGTTGACAGGAGCTGGGCCTGGGTGAGGCCTTGAGGATTTGGCCCCTGTATTTAGCTGTCTGCCACTCCTTTTACCCTCATTTCACCTAGGCTGCCTTAACTCATGGTTTGATGAGTCTTCGCCTTAATTCTGAGGGCTCAGTAGTTAGTCCTCAGCTTTTCTCAGGTCTGTAGCTTTATTTAAATGCTGCTTAACTGACCCGGATACGTGCATCCTTTCCAGGTACTGGCATGGTGATAACCTGCCTTTTGATGGGCCAGGAGGGATCCTGGCCCATGCGTTCTTCCCCAAGACCCATCGTGAGGGAGATGTCCATTTCGACTATGACGAGACCTGGACCATTGGGAACAACTTGGGTACGTTGCTGATGCAGATGAGTTGTGAGGGGCAATGACTCCTGATGAGGAGCCTAAAGGAGCAGTGACAGCAGGCTCCCCACACACAGCACAGCACGTGGATCATGCCCTGCCCCCTGCAACCTCGTACCTTACAGGCTCTTGTCACATTGCAGCTGCAGTGAAGTCCAGTTCTAACACCAGGTCACCTGAACACCCACAGCTAGAAATAAAACAGGAGAAATGAAGGGAAACTAAGGCACAGATGCCAGGTGAAGAGCTCCTTTGTCACAGTCCCATGTAGTAGGCTGGGATCAGTCCCAGGTCCCCTGAGCATTTCTCTCAGTCCGTTCCCAAAATTCTTTTCTTGAAACAGTCCATAAAGGGAAACAATACAGAACAACTGCAAATCTGCCATTTGGCCTGGGAATAGTCTGGCGGTAAACAACATCTCCCTGCTAGCATGGGGGAGGGGGTGACTTCAGTTCCAGATCAAGTAAAAACCATGGGGCTAATAATAAAGCAAGGCCAATGTCTTCATGTCCTATCTCACAAGATAGGTTACAGGATCTTGGGACCCAGCAGGATTATTCCTTAAAGCCTGGCTTCTCCAGCAAGATCTACAGAAAATAACCTGCATCAGACACTGTCCCCCTCCCCCAGCCCTCCATGATCATCAGGGAGAAGGAAATGAAGAAAGGATTTAAAAAATACTAAATTAACACCTCTTTCTGGGCCTCAGCATCCATCTCGTCTCATTTCTGTTATGGTTTTAGCACTCACAAATCCAGTCCTGCGCCCACTGAACTCCAGGGCATTTTCCCCATTGACTCTGAAAGCAGGATTAGGCCTTCATCTGTACACCCCCTGGAGCAGAGACTGTCCTTATTTTTGTTGTACTAACTCACTCCAGTACCTTTTGCAACATTACAAAGATACTTCCTGCCACCTGCAGTGGGGCAGTCTAGGAAACACCCAGAATTTTCACCACGCTTCCCAGGTTTCAGTGTGCTATATGAAGAATTGCCTTGTGTGCCAGTCTCACTGAAGCCAATGTTTGAGGACAGCCTGGAAATTTGCTAAATCAGACCATACCAGTATCCATCCTCGTAACAGAGCCCAGTTCTTACCACCTTTTCTCATGTGGCTTCAGAAATAATTAGCAGGAACATTGTGTATGTCCTCACCATTTCATAGCCTAAAAGAGCTTGCCAAGCCCTCATTAATCCTTGCAAGCCCTTTGGGAGGTAGAGAAATCTCATCCTTCATTTTTGCAAACAAGGACACAGAATCATAGAGAGGTTTCAATGATTTGCCCAAGTGTCTCATAGCAAGTCATGGTCAACAACAGGATTTGACCTTGGGAGTTGCTGGTTCCCTGCTGCCTCTGTGATGAATGTGATGGCACTTCCCTAGCACAGATTTTTTCAGATGTGACAAATCTGACCACAGTACAGGAGGTCTGCCAGTCCTGGAAAGCAGAGTGCGAGGAGTCTGCCAAGCTAAAAAGCATTGTTTGAAAGTTTTTAATAAGCCACTGGTGTAGAAATCCCGCAGCCTCAGCTAACCTCAATGTGTTTAGGTTCATGGTGTCACCGCTGAGCAAAATTTATTCATGTCTTTGTACTGCTAATAGGAAGATAAAGCCAATGCTGCACGTCTCCCAGACCTATGCAGGTGTTCCTACTGCATGGAATATTCCACCGCATGGCCATACCCCTTGGGAGCTGACCCTCTCCCCTATAGGCAGTAGTGGATGGACTAAATATAACAGCTCTTGTGGTTGACTCTGACCCTGACTCTCCTCTTTCCTCTCAGATTGCAACGTGGAGGCTTTCTGACTGAAACCAGGTGCATGCCTGTGGTCAGAAACAAATAAGCCTTGTAACTTAGTTTGCTTCTCTCCTAGAATTTAGAACCTGAAACTGGTCAGCTGGGAGCTACCTGAGGTCTCCTGGATCCCATCTTTATTCTCCTTTTAAAGATGCTTTCAAGTAGTTTATGCTTACTTGAAAGTTATTCCCTTATGCCTACTTGAAGGTTACTCCCTGAATTCTCTGAGTTTAGCAAGGAAGAAGCAGATGAGCCTTTATTTATCTTTAATGTCATGTTCTTATAGTTTCATAGTTTCTAGGGTTGGAAGGGACCTTAGCAGATCATCTAGTCCGACCCCCTGCCATGGCAGGAAAGAGTACTGGGGTCAAACGACCCCAGCAAGGTGTTCATCTAACCTCCTCTTAAAAACCCCCAGGGTAGGAGCCTGCACCAC